AGGTGGAAGCAAATAATCTACCAGTAATGCTAGATGCAATGTTAGATTGAAGACTAAGAAAATAAGAGTAGAAAGGTCAGTTGGGAACATGCTAAGGGGCCTGACTTTATCCTGAGAGCCAGTGGTTCCCAAATTATTTTGACTGCATACCCAACCAGTAATAAATTTTTGTGCATGCATCTACCCTCAATATATATATACATTTGTTTATGTATAAATTAAATTATGCCAAGAGCTACTATTCTAATATGTTATACTCATTAGAAAACAAACAAAAATATAAATGCGTAAAAGATAAAAATAAGTAATATTCTTGTCCTCTTGGTGCTACCAAATCAACAGGAGTATTTACAAAATCTAAGGTAGTATACCTGTGCTTACTTCTTTGACGCTAAGCTCAACCGTTAGGAAATCTGAAAGACTTTTATGATAGTGAATTTAAACATATCTAAATATACCATACTTTGTACATAGAAATGGTATAAATGCATAAATGCTTGTTTATAATTTCATGCTTATTTATTTTATCTCTCAAAATAACTTAGTGCTTAGTATAGTGATAAAATACAGTGATAAAATACTCTGTAAAGTTAAAAAAAAAAACAAAAAGATTATATCCCATTCACTATCATCCAAAATATTATGCCTTTTTAAAACCTAATTCTTGGGGAGACAAAATCTTAATTAGCATTTTAGTTTAAGTTTTAATAATAAGTTTAATCCCCATGGAAATTGATGCCTTTACAATTTCTAGATTAAGAAACACAGCATGATCAACACCCAAGAAGATTTTCTCTAATTTCATCATTAAACCTCAAATCTGGGTGGCTCAGTTGGTTAAGCACCTGACTCTTGATTTCAGCTCAGGTCATGGTCTCAGGGTCATGAGATCGAGCCCTGTGTTGGTCTCCACACTCAATGTGGAGTCCACTTGAGATTCTCTGCTCCTCCCTCTGCCCCTCCCCCTGGTTGTGCTCTCTCTCGCACACACTCTCTCTCTAAAAAAATTAATAAAAATCTTTAAACCTCAAACCTGACCTTAAGTAAACAGTTCAAAAATAAAGAGGATGCACATCATAACCAAGTGGGATTTATGCTAGGGATGCAAGGCTGGTGCCTACATGGAAATCCATCAATGTAATACACCAGATTAATAGAGTAAAGGGAGAAAACACATAATCACCTCAACAGATGCCAAAAAAAGCACTGGACAAAAGTCAACAGCCTTTCCCCATAAAAACATTCAACGAACTAGGCATAGAACTCCTACAAACTTATGATAAAAAGCATCTGTGAAAACTTACACCCAACATCATACTTAATGGTAAAAGACCGAAAGCTTTCTTTAAGATCAAGAACAAGACAAGGATATCTGCTCTCACCACTTCTATTCAACATTGTACAGGAGGTTTTAGCCAGGGAAATTAAGCAAAAAGAAAAGAAATAACAGGCATCCAGATTGGAAAGGAAACGTAAAACTATCTCTATTTGCAGATGACATGATCTTGCAAGTAGGAACTCCTAAGGAATCTTAAAAAAGTAATAACTATTATAGCTAATAAACGAGTTCAGAAAGTAGCAGGACACAAGACCAATACACAAAAATAACTTGGTCAGTTGTATTTCTATACATTAGCAATGAATAATCTGAAAATGGAATTAAGAAAACAATTCCAGGGGTGCCTGGGTGGCTCAGTGGGTTAAGCCTCTGCCTTCAGTGCAGGTCATGATCTCAGGGTCCTGGGATCGAGCCCTGCATTGGGCGCTCTGCTCAGCGGCGAGCCTGCTTCCCCCCACCCCCCTCTGCCTGCCTCTCTGCCTACTTGTGATCTCTGTCAAATAAATAAATAAAATCTTAAAAAAAAAAGAGAGAATGAAATACTTGCAAATAAATTTACCAAAAGAAACATCAAGACTTATATACTGAAAACTACAAAAGCATGTATGAAAAAAATGAAAGGAGGCCCTAAACAAAAAAAAGAACATCTTTTGTTCTTGGATGGGAGGAACTGATGTTGTTAAGATGGCAATATTCTCAAAATTGATCTATAGATTCAATGCAATCTCGATCAAATTTCGAGTTGCCTTTTTTACAGAAATTGACAAGCTAATGCTAAACTTGAATTGGAAATGCATGGGACCCAGAAAGATCACAACAGTATTGAGAAAGAATAAAGCTGGAGGACTCAAGTTTATTTCAAAGTTTATTACAAAGCTACAGTAATCAAAATTGTGTGGCATGGGGGCACCTGGGTGGCTCAGTGGGTTAAGCCTCTGCCTTCGGCTCAGGTCATGATCTCAGCGTCCTACGATTGAGCCCTGCATTGGACTGTCTGCTCAGCAGGGAGCCTGCTACCCGCCCTCCCCTCTGCCTACTAGTGATCTCTCTCTCTGTCAAATAAATAAGTAATCTTTAAAAAAATTGTGTAGCATGGCCTAAGGAAAGACGCGGAGATCATAGCACAGAAATGAACCCTTACATCTATGGTCAGATGATTTTCATAAGGCTGCCAATATAATTCAATGAGAAAAAAAAATAGTCTTTTCAGAAAGTGGTAGTGGGACAACAGGATACCCACATAAGAATGAGGCTGGACCTCTACCTTACACTATACATGAAAATTAACTGAAAATGGATCCAAGATGTAAATGGAAAAGCCAAAACTATAAAACTCTTAGAAAAAAAACATAGGTATGAATCTTCATGACCTTAGATTAGGCAATGATTTCTTACATATGACACTGAAAGCATAAGCACCAAAGGAAAAATTGATAAATTGAACTTCATCAAAATTTAATAAGAAAATAAAAAGACAACCTATAGAATGGGAGAAGATATTTACAAACCACCCTCTGGTAGGGGTGTTGTATCCAGAATATATAAAGAACTCTTAAAACTCAACAATTAAAAAAAAAAACAGTTAAAAATGGGCAAAGGATTCCTACAGACAGTTCTCCAAAGAAGATACATAAATGGCCAATAAGGGCATATAAAGATGCTCAACATCATTAGCCTTTAGGGAAATGTGTATTGAAACCACAATGAGATACTACTTTTCACATTCAGTGGAATGGCTACAGTCAAAAAAATGGACAATAATAAGTGTTGACAAGGATGTGGAAAAACAGGAACCTTTTTACATCGTTCGTAAGAATGTAAAATGGTGCAGCCTCTAAGGAAAACAGGTTACTGGTTCCTCAAAAAACTAAACATAGAACTGTCATTTGATCCAGCAATTCCACTCTTAAGTATACACCCAAAGGAGTTGAAAGCAGAGACTCAAACTGACACTTGGATGATTTCATTAATTGCAGCAATATTCATAATAGCCAAAAGGTGAAAACAACCCAAGAACCCACCAACTGATAAACAGATAAACAAAATGCGATATGTTTATACAATGGAATGTTATGCAGCTATAAAAGGAATGACATTTTGATACACCCCACAATACAGATGAACTAGAGGACATTATGGTGTGTGAAATAAACCAGACAGAATAGGGCAAATACTATATGATTCCACTTATGTGAGTGTACCCAGAATAAGCAAATGTACAGAGAAAGAAAGATTAGAGGTTGGCAGGAGAGTCATTACTTAATGGTTATGGAGTTTGTCTAGGGTAATGAGAAGTTTTGGAAGTAGATGGTGGTGATGGTTATGCAACATTGTGAATGGAATCAATGTCACTGAACTGTACACTTAAAATGAAAAATTTTGTTATTTACATCTTATCGCATTTATTAATAAAAAATTAATAATACACCTAAAGCCAGAGGATCCTATACGTTAAATGGGCAAACTGTACGGCATGTTGAATTGTATCACTATAAAGCTGATTTTTAAAACAGGAAGAAAAAAAAGAAAGGAAATCTGGGGCTATAAAAAGGATATGGGAGACTCTTAAATGCATACTGTCAAGGAAAGAAACGAGTCAGAAAAAGCTACATACTGTATGATTCCAACTAGACGATATTCTGGAAAAAGCAAAACGATAAGTACAATGAAAAGATGCATGGTTGCCAAGGGTTCCAGGCAGAAGAGAAAGAACCAAGAGGTGGAGCACAGGACATTCTCAGAGCAGCGACACCATTCTGCTTGATACTGGAATGGTACATACATGACAAGCATTTTTCAAAACCCACAGAACTGGAAAACACAAAGGGTGAACCTCAAGGTAAACAGAGGACTTTAGTTAATGTATTAACACTGATTTGTCAACTGTAACAAATGCACCCACTAATGCAAGACGTTAATAGGAGAAACAATAGGGAAGGGAGAGGGAAGGGCATGTGGGAACTCTGCTCTTTCTGTGTAATTTTTCTATAAACCCAAAACTGCTCTTCAAAAAGTCTATTTTAAAAATGTATACTTAACACAAAGACTACACTGAATTCTATCCTCTTCTCATGAGTCCTAAGACGATTCACTTTAAGCACAAATTTTAATTTTACATCAGACGAGGAGGAAGTGCTGATTCTTCCAGCATTGTAATCCCAGACACTATCAAACCATCTCAGTTCAGTACTCCACATGCCCTTCCCCTCGTTCACCCCTTCCTCCACCCCCCACAAAATTACGACCTAAATTTTTGAATTCATGTAAGTACTTTCATCTAGATCGTCTTTGAAGATTCTGTAGTCTTTGGAAACGCTTCCTTACATTTATGACTGAATTCCAGTCTAATTATAATTATGAATTATAGTGACATTATTATACCAAGCCGCCATGCCTCCTGTTTTATTCACTTTGTTCATTTTCTATTAGGTATCATTTTATCAGGAAGCTAGGTGTGTTAGTTTTACACATCTTTTGGGGGGAAAAAAAACAAACAACTGTTCTCCAAGACCCTCAAGCGTCAACACAAAGGGAAGCTATAACTGTCCCAGAAGAAAGGTGGCTAAAAATTTTCAGGACAACTTTTCCCCAGCTCCTGGTTTAAAATGATCCCCTGCCAAACCTCTAATCTTTATTGGCACACTGTATGCATTTCTTTTACCTTGGTCTTTTCCAGCTTCATCAATGTGTTGAAAATCTTTCAGTGTTTGAAGGTTACAGAACCCCTCTCTGCAATGCTGAATAACTTTCTTTGATCCGTTCTTGATGAGATAATCCATCAGCGTAAGGGATTTATATACATGGCGCCAGTTCTTCCCGTGATCGTTGAGTCTCTGCCATAGCATGCTCATAATCTCTGACAGAGAAATTGTGTTGAAAGTCAGGTCACTGATATCTAACATTAGAGAACTAGAAGGACCCCAAGGGTCATTAGAAGTTGCTTCTCTGACTTTTATTTCAGCATCTGAGTAATTTTTCACGAAGTTTTTCACTTGCCTCCTGAATGCCATAGGTAAGACAAGTTTGAAGGTGAGATGGGGATGAGAGCAATGGAATAGGAGTTATGATAATTGGTTTATAAAACTCTTGAGAGGTAATTGGTCCCCAGTTCTGCTGCTCCCAAATACAAATGATTAATCTCCATTTTGATGAGACATCAATTTCCTGCAAAGCAAAGCACAAAAAAATATGTACATTAAATGCTTTTTGAAATGTCTATAAAAGACCAAGTCAGTCTGAAAAATCTAGGTTTACTTAGAAATCAGCCCCTCACTTACATCAGCCAGAATTGAGGCACCATCTAAATTCTCCTAGCAGCAATATGGGAAAATCTCTCATAAGGGATTGGTCTATATTACTTAAAGAAATATACATGGTCTTTCTAGTCCTAAAATTTTCTGCAGAAGATAGCATTCGGCCTCTTTGGCCAGGAATAAGACAATTTTAAAACATTACGGGACAGTGGGCAAGTTAGGAAAAGAAAATGGGACTTGTACTCTGACATTCCCTGCTTAAGATTTGTTGTCATGTATAAAAATGGTATGTCTTGGGGCGCCTGGGTGGCTCAGTGGGTTAAAGCCTCTGCCTTTGGCTCAGGTCATGGTCTCAGGGTCCTGGGATGGAGCCCCGCACTGGGCTCTCTGCTCTGCAGGGAACCTGCTTCCTCCTCTCTCTCCGCCTGCCTCTCTGCCTACTTGTGATCTCTGTATGTCAAATAAATAAATATAACCTTTTTTTAAAAAATGGTATGTCCTAAAGGTAATTAGGATGGTAACAACTGAGTTGGGATCATTATGTGACCCTATGGTTGTATTCTTCTTAGAACTACACGTCACTAGAATCAGATCTAAATACATTCTGCTTTCTTGTTAACCTGAAAGTAGAGAGGGCTGTCAACTATTAACACAAGTACTTGCACCACAGGGAACCCGACATCTAACTCGTACCCTCGAAGAGTATTTTAGTACCAGTAAGGTTAATAAGTTCAAGGAAAAGGATAAATTACTTTCTTTACTGGGCCTCAGGAAAGGAACTATGCATTTAGGAGTAAAGGATGTTAGTAGTATGATTCAAATCGGGTAAAAATTTCCCTAAAAACTGGAGTGATCAGCATGTATCTGTCACATTCCAAAACAAGTACACACAAAGAGAGGCCCATTTAGGTTGATACAAAATACATTAAAACCTAAAGCAGGTCTGCAGCCCCCAAACCTTAAATGAAGTTTATGAATGATCAATTCACAGTTCACATGAAACCACTCCCTACCTTCTTTTTCACTGTTTCGCATTAAGGTGGGTTAGTTAGTTTGCAATTTCCCCAGTGATTCACCCCTGATGGTCACCAAGATAGTATACTAAATTGATTTCAAGCCCTGACAAGCATCCAGACCCAATGAAACTTCGATGATCTATAATCAGATTTTACAAGAGAAACCGCATGCACAGTAAAGAAAGACATTAAAATCGTAACAAATTTGTCTTGTTTTCAGTTTTGTTTCTCTGCCTTGACCTTCACAGCTCCTAGCTCAGGTCTGATTAATTTCTGTGTATGTACTTAAGAAGACATAAATTTTCAGAAGCAAACTATATGAGCTATCTTTTCTTTTTCAAAAAATAAGAGAAAGGATAATTAACCTTTTTTTTTTTTTTTGGTAAAAGTATAACACATCCTCAAATAAGTAAGATGGAAAATGTATCAGTTTAATTAACATTTCTCAGAAAGAGACTATTGTCAACCCTAGGAAGAAAAAGAGAAGTTGTGTGTTTTCACAATTTTGATTTTCTCTGTTTGCACTTCAAACACAGGCATTTTTATCTGACTCATTCCTGCAGTGAAAACCAGACTTGTAATGTGTTTCAATAAGCCATTAAAATTTTCAGTCATGAGTGTTTTCTTTTTCTACTGTCCTTTTTTCCCTTCCAGCAAGCTCACGCAATGCAGAGATGCACTGCGACATTGGCTTAGAGAAACAAATATTGATCTGTTTCCTCACAAGTCTATTAAAAAAAAAACCTGTTAGAATCATTACCTGCTGGAATTGAACAACAGTCATTAAAACACTATTTTTTGTTCTTTTTTGGTGATACTATATTTTGGAGAGACAAAAACCCTAATTTTTAGGTTTTCCTATATTCTCTATCTTGCATTTTAAAAATGTTTTCTTAAATGAAACTTCTGCCCCAGGAAATTATCCAATAATAGGCTTCAATCCAATAGAGTAGTTTAAAATGGATGTGCGTAACATCATACTGAAATTAAATACCCAACCATTAAAAAAAATTAAATTCCCAATCATTTAAAATTCCCATTTTAGTTTAAATTCCCAACCATTAAAAAAAAAAAAAAACCCACAAAGCAAAAAGTCTGGCTGAGTGAATTAATTAGTGCATTTACTAATGCATAGTACTTTCTGACATGACCATAGAATATGTAAGACACATTCTACTATTGTTATTTTTTCAGATTAACAAGGAGTTCAGTTGGTGTTAGTGGTAAATTATACGTTGGTCTTCTGTGTTTCAGACACCTGACTACATGCAAACGTTCAGTTTACTCATACCACTAGAAACTTGAGATTGTAATTACAGCGATGGGACATCTAAGACAAAAGTGGTGCCCAAGAGGGTAATTTTCCCACCTGAATCTTGGTTGTCTGGCTACCCAAATCCGTGGAATATTTAGAAACGGAGGCAAGTTAAGATATTCCATGTTGCCAATCTGGGTCACCTACTCTGAGAGGCCTTCAGTAAGCACACTAGCTACTCAGATCTTCCCAATATATTCTTTCTGCACCTGATTTATTTCCTTCATGGCACTTACCATGATCTGTACCTGTGTATTTGTTATTTGCTTTCTTCACCACCAGACCAAAAACTCCATGACAGCAGGGACCATGACCATCTTATTTACAAAGCAATATAATCCTATTGCTTAATAAGTACCTAGAACATGGTAGGTACTCAAGAAACAGGTGCTGAGTGAATGCCCAAATGACTGACAGATTATGCTTGGGATAAACTTGCATAGATTCAACAGCTTTGGATCAAAACCATGACATTTTAAAATCATATTCCAGCCTTGTAGTTGTCAAGTAAAATTCTAGAGTTTAAATATTTTCAGTTCAATCAATAAATATTTCTTGACTATCTACCATTTGTATGGCGTTATGTATGATATAAGCAATTTAAAACATGATTCTGACACTCAAAAACCAGTGTTTGATTAAGGAGCTTAAATAATTCTCCCTTAAATAATTTAATTCTCCCTTAAATAATTCCAAAATAAACACATGATGAGGTAAAAAAAAAAAAAAAAGTCTCTTGGTTTCCTTTTCAGACTTATTTCCATGTTTTGGCAAAGGCTGTTTCTTCCCCCCAGCTTTTCCTTAACTGTAACAGGAAATCATTTAAGTTATCAAATGGCATTGTGGAATTCAAACTCAGGTGTTTTTCGTTTTTTTTTTTCAGACTTTTGAAGGGTCACACCGTGTCTGTACCATGTTACGTGATACCCACAGTATGGTGTGGGGCCGCTCTGAACAAGCAAACACATTAACGTGACCGCAGCAAAAACTTGTATATATCTGGAACAAATAAAGACAAAATGCCTCATTTCAATTCGGGTCTTGCTGCCAAACGAGTTGGGGGGAAAACTGGTCTTCAAAATTCAGAATTCGAAAACCTGAATTCAAAATTCAGATATCAGAATTGAAATAAGGAACTGAGGAGCTGAACTGACTTTACCCAAAGACCTAGGACAATAATAGCAGCATCTAAGAGGCTGAGTGTGAGAGGCATCTGGAAAGATGCATTTAGGGTAGAGAGCAGCTTTCCTCTTTGTACAGGTTCTGCCTGTAGACTTAAGTTTACTCAGGAGAAAATAAGCTCTGGCCAAGATTGTTGTGGGAGAATGATTATAGAGAATACCATGGCATTAGGAGGTGTTACTGTTTGGATGGGAAGATTACTGCAAGAGGCAGAGAAATCAACTTTTTGGAGCCCTCCTGTGTGTTCATTAATTCATTCCACTATTCGTTCTCTAGAGTTCACCATGTGGCAGACTCCATTCTACAAAATGGAAAAACAGGTACACAAGACACAGTCCCCATCCTCTGGAATAAAGGGCTACTCTCTTTCGAATGCTCATAATGTGCTCACACCTAGGCATTCACCTACCTCATCTCATTACTTTAATTAGGATTCCAAAGGCATGGACTTGAGGTCCTGCTCTGCCATTTCCTAATTCAGGCTCAACGACTTCACCGAGCCTCAGCTCCCTCATCTGCAGCATAAAGAATAATCACCCCATAGAAAGAACAGCTGAGAGGAAGAAATGAGATGCTTGAGAAAGAATTTTGAACATGAAGGGTGAAGGCTCAGAGAATCAACTTCCTGTAGATGGCGCCTTTCCTTGGCCTCCATTTCTTCAGAACGACCACCGTGTACAAGGCAGGCCCCATGCCAGGTCCAGAGCCACTCAGATGAGCCCGACTACGGACTCCCCTCGGAAAGCACAGAGTTTACTTGGAGCGGAAACCTGGGCCACACAGAAGCTTCTAAAAGGAGGGAGTGCGACACAATGGCGTCACACAATGGGGACCTTCCCTCACGCAGGCCGTAGTGACCTTGGCCCCCTCTCGCCCACACGCAGTCAGCAACGGCACCGCCTGAAACAAGAGGCAGAGACAGACCCTTCCATGCCCATCTGAAGCCCCCAAACAGGAATCTACTACCTGAGGGGAAAGTCCTGCCACAGCGTCACGATCTTTTCCCGCTCAAATTCAAGCCCCTCGTTCCTAGGCTGATCGCCTCCCGCAGCTGGGCCCAAGCGCCCACGCCCTCCCCACTTCCGCTTCCTCACTTCCGCGCCCTCACTTCCGGGCTCTCTGGGGTCGGGTGTCCGGTGCTCCTAGGGCGTCTAGCAAAGGGGACTTAAGGAGTTAAAATGACCGAGGTTCTTTCGTGGGGAGGGGCGGATATCAAGTGCAGTGAAGGCACATGTCTTCGTTTAACAGTCGCTGGGGCTGTGATGCTGCCCTCAGGCTCCTTTCAAAGAAAAATTTTACAATTTGTGTTACTAATGTATTTTGACGAGACGGTGCCCACCGCTGATCTCCACCTCAAACGACAAAGAGGGTCTTTTGCTAGGGCCGAAAAGGGTTGTGTGTGTGTGTGATGGGCAGTGATGGAGTGTCTCCAGGGAGGGCCTCGCGTACCACTGAAGGGTCGTCGTTGAAATATTTAACTGATCTTCAGTGAGCGCCCCCTCTGTGCCAAGCACCCCACCGAGCTGTAAGGACCCAGAGATAAAGCATGAGTTTACAGGCTAGTGGAGGTGACAGGCACCCTCACGGAAGACTGTGACAAGATATGTATCTTGTAATAAGAGAGGAGAGAGCATCTAATTCTGCCAAGGAGTATTTAAAGGCAGGTTTCAGAGAAGACTTTACATCTGTATCTTAAAGGATGACAGGGAGTTCACTGGATAGACAAAGTGGAGGAGGCCATTAGAGGCAAAGGACACATCATGTGTAAAGGCTTGAAAGCTGAGAGAGCCTATTATCTTGGTAAAACTACAAGTACTGTAGTTACTATGGCTGTCTCAAAAGCTATTAGTGGAACAGCAGAGGGAGAGGAAGTGGCAGAGGAAATTCAGATCATGAAAGACCTTGTCCATGCTGCTAGGTGACTTTATCTGGTAGGCATTGAAAATATAATCAAACCCATGTTTTAAAAGCACGTGGCTGGCTGTGTGGACTATGTCACTATTCCACCAGGGTGGAGGGAAAAGACTTAGACAATAGAAAAACTCTTCATAGATGAAAGTAACATTTGTTTTTAGCTCCTACGACTTTAATCATAATAATTATTATAATAGATATCATGATCGAACTGATGTGTAGTTAGGTAATTATGATATAAAATGGTGGAAGATATGAAAGAAGTTGGTGTGTTTGAAATACTACTTAACTGGCTATCATATAGTGTAGTGGGCATAGTAGCCAGAGGGAAACTAAAAAGGGTGGCCTGGAAACAGATTGTTCAGGGCCTTGAATGCCACACTAAGGTGTTATTCTATAAAATAGTGGGGGACAAACAACAAATATTTTGTTTATATAGTGAGTTAGAGTTTATAAAGATTTTTTCGAGTCATAGCTTATGTAAATTTCAAAGGAACTCTGTATAATTATTCCATTTTACAAATGAGGAAGCTGATTTGGGGGAACATGCATTCATTCTACATTATTGAGCACCTGCTAAGTGCCAGGCACTATGCTGAGCTATGGGAATACAAAGAAGTAATAGTCTAATTAAAAAGACAAAAACAAATTAGCAATTATAATAATGCTTTGGGAGTAAAAAGAGGATTTGCCTAAATCTACATAATTAGAGAAGTCTTCCTGGAAGAGGTGAACTTGGGCTGAGTTTGAAGGAACAAATAGGTTACATGAATTGCTCAGAAACATTCAACTATCAAGCGATTTAGCTGGAACTTGACCCAAATTTGCAGTGTCCAGTTCTGTGCCCTTTCCTCTACCCTAAGGACTAATTTTTGGTTCTTAATGTTGAGCTCCACCAATGTTCTTTTTTTTTTTTTAATATTTTATTTTTAAGTACTCTCTACGCCCAGTGTGGGGCTCAAACTCACAACTCCAAGATCAAGAGCTGCACGTTCCACCAACTGAGCCATCCAGGCACCCCTCCGTTGACATTCTCAGTCACAAATCATAACCTGTTACATTTTGAAAACATTGGAGATCCATTTTTTTCCTTTTTAAACCCATTCATTTCCTCCTTTTAGAATGAATCTTTGGCTGTATCTGGAAGGATGTTGACTAGGCTCAGCAAAACTGTAAAGTGTTAACTACCTAGTGGAATTAACTTCGTTAAAGTAACATGTGAAAGGTCCTTCTCTGCTTTCTTCCATTTGGGGGCACCATAATTTAGTTGCACTCTCTAAATACAGGCATGGTTTTACAATAATAACTTGGTGTGTTGTTTTTTTTTTCCCCATGAACTCAGAGTTTGATTAAAGTGAACAGAGTTTTCTTCACTTGGTTTCCAGGAAACCATTGCTCCTTCTCATTTCCTTGGCTGGTTTCTTCCATTTCTCTGACCTCTCGACTTTGAAGGGGTCTGTTCTCTATCAGTATTCATTCCCTGGGTGGTTTCATCCAGTCTCATTACTTTAAATAATCTTTTCTCTCAACAGCTCTCAAGTTTTTATCTCTAGCCCTAAACTCTCCTGACCTCCAGACTCATATCTATCTTGACATCCCCAGTGGTATGGCTCATAGAAATCTCAAACTTAATATGCCACAAACCAAGATTCTGATCTTTCAAGCTTGTTCCCCTGTCTCAGTAAGGACACATCCTTGCTTCTGGTTTCTCAGGCCATGAGCTTTGCGGTCATCGTTGGTGCCACTCTTTGGCTCTCAGACTTCACATCATATAATCAGCTCACCTTTAATGCAGGGTGGCCACCAATGCAGTTGGTAGGTGATAAATGGTTTATTGATCGCACATTCTAATTCATGAAAAAATAATAATATTTATGCTTCTAGACTCTCTGGTCACCCCATATATTCAGAATGTAGTCATTTCCCACCACCTCCACTTTCCACCACCTGTCCTAAGGTGTGCCTTCTCTTGCCAGGACTACTGCAGTAACCTTCTAACTGGTCTCCCTGCTTCTACCCTCGCTCCCTTACAATTTATTCTCAATACAGTAATGAGAGCTATTCTAAAACCTAACCCCAAATTAGACCATGTTCAAAATCTTCCATTGGCTCTCATCTTAACTCAGAATGAAATCAAAGACCTTGCCATGGCCAACAAGGCCCTATGTGTTCCAGGCTCTGCTCCCTCTCTGACCTCCATCGTGACTGCCCCCCCTCCTTACTCATTGCATCAAGCTTGCTTCCACCATAAGGCTTTGTACTTGCTGGTCCCTATACCTGCCTACTCTTTCCCCAGAGAGCCATCAAGCTGGCTGCCTCACTTTGTTCTGGACTTAGCTCAAATGTCCTTTGATCTCCCAATAAAATTGCCACCCTCCACCTGGGCTACACTTTCTCTAACTCTGTCCTCATTTTATGATTCTCTGTAGTAGCACAACTATCTGACATACGTAATTATTTCCCTCTCTGCCAGAAGATAAGATCCAGGAAGGCAAGGACTATATTTTGTTCACTGCTCTATTCCCAGCCCCTCAGGACAGGCCTAACAGACTAGGTATTCAAACAGTATTTACTGAATGAATGAAACAAGAATGTCTGAATCTGTACTATTGAATGAAAAGTACACATTTTACCATAAAGGTAAATTAAACATAATTATGTACAAGAGGTTCTGATATTAGCAATGACCCCTCAAATGGAATTGCTGAAAAATTGCAAATAAGTATGGTTTTAAAAGAAAATTCTCAGGAATAAATAAAAAAATAAAAGAAAATTCTCTATTATGAGTAAGTCCACATTTCACAGATTCTTGAATCCTCGCAATTTTGCTGATATTTTCTGAGTGTCCCATGACTGTGAGGACTGAACTAATGGCATTCTCATATTAGAGTCTTTATTCTTAGGTTCTGCCTCTGCACTTGTTCAATGACAAAGCATCCATGAAATAAACCACTAGAGTAGCCTTGCTGCCCTCTCTGTATGCTCTGTAACATGTCTGTAGATCATTACTTGCTGTTGAAATAACTTCTCTTTGAGATTTTCCTGTACTGCATTTCTGCCCCACACTTGAAAGGGGAGAGGTTCTATTTTGCTCCCTAGGGGGATAGTACCCTGTGGAAAAGTAGCTTCCTCATTAGGGTGCTAGCTGAGAACTCCATGATTCTTCCTCTAGAACACTGTTTATCTTTCCTCCTTTCTTCACACTCTCCAGCTGTGGGCATTTAGGACCTCGCCGATCAACCACTTCAATACCACTGACTTGGGATTTGCTCCGTGGCCAGAGGATTTCAGTGTCTGACAACTAGCTATGAAGCTGCTGGGCATCATGATATTGGGTCCAGGAATGCCCTTAGACCATGAAGACTGAAGAACACTGAGCCCCACATTAATATGTTTATTGTTGTAAAGTCAGGGACATGCTGTTGCCTTTAAAATTCTATCTTTATAGCATGTGGAAATAGTGAGGAACCTGTTCAGACACAACTCAGGTTTAAGAAAATTGAACAAACTTGCATTAACAGAAAGAAAGTCCTGTATTAAGGAGTTAAGAATAGCAAATTCTTTCCTTTAACTCATTCAATAAATATTGAGCACCTACCGTGACCAAAGTACTCTGATGATTTCAAACCACATTATTCTTTTATATTTCAATGAAAGTGTTGAGCAGTTATTACCAAGGAGAAATCCACCCCCCCCCAAAAGGAAATTTCTAACAAGATTTAGGTATAAAAGGGGTGAAAAGATTTAAAAAAAAGATATCATCTCACCATATAGAATAAGTTTAAATTTTAGAACTCCAAACTGAGTCTTCTATGATACCTTCCTTCTTAGCCTTCAAGGAATTAATGCTGGGAATATCTCGTGAGCCAGTATTTCCCTTTCTTTTGGGCTCAAATTCTTACTGGAGCCACTTAGCTCCAGTAAAGAGGCAGTGTGGCAGTGTAGCAGGTGGCAGTGTCTCTTATGTCGTGCAAAAGATGCATCGTTGGCAATCCATTTCTAGTAAGAGCAAAGAGAGGAAGAGGCCTTCACAAGTTATACTTGGCATGGGACCCTAAAGGGAAGGAGGACTCTCACAAATTTGAAAGTAAGAACTAAGGAGGTTGGCAATGACAAAAATCTTAGGTCAGTGAAAAATCTTTAAATCCCAGAAATCCTTTAGCCCAACCAACTCAGAAGAAAGGAAAGTCCCTAAGATCTAAGGAACCAGTCCCTGCTCTTGCCTGACTGGCAAACCTGGGGTTAGAAGTCATCCTGGTTCAGAGATTTTCTTCTTTTGTTTTTTGTTAAGGGTCATGTTATGGACTAAGAGTAATATGGGCTGAGTGCACTAAGAAAGCATCTTCTCTGGGATTTTAGCTCTGTGCGTGATCCCAGGATGATATTAAATAAGTTCCCTGAAGAAGTCCTAAATTTTTCTCTGGAATCTTGGATGTACTGGGAGAGAATGAGAGTTTTCCTTCAGAGCAGCGGCCTATTGATGAATCGTCTCCAGGATTTGAAATTTTCGTATGTGAACAGAATCGTTCGGAGGGAAATTGTTAAAATTGAAACCAAGCATATAGAAGCAAAAGTGCTTCAGAGAACCTCCTGCATTTTAGTTCAATTCTGGCAGCAAGAAAACAAAACCACATAATGTAAGGCTCACACCCAACTCTCTGAAGCCCTGCTTCTGCTAGTTCCTGTGTGGTTTGCCTACAGACTGCTGGGCTGGCTGGGGGCAGTTTGGAGGAGGGAACAAGAAGTAAGGCAGGAGGAGGCACTATTAATGGATCTGCGAACTTGTACGCTGTTTTAGTGTGGTCCTTGGAAGATAGCACAACGTGGATCTGTACTCTGAAATGCAGTAATTTTGATGTTTGACTTTGTCTTCCTTCTTGGAAGAGAAGATACTATTAACTCAGTGTCAAAGCCAAGATATAGACTCGATCTCTTCTCTTCAAAAAGGTATGTCATTAGACAACATCGGGCCATATACTCTATAGAGATCTTGAACTGTTTTATAATTTGCAGAATGTTCTTTATGAGTCAAATCTAGTTAAAATGAATCCCATAGATTCTTGAAATATTGCTACTCATATGTTGGTCCATCCGCGAAGGTCTGTAAATCTTTTGCTGTAACAATGCTTGTGGGGATGGGATTCGACTTCCAGCAAAGGAACTTGTTCCTTACCCAGCCCAGCACACAAAATTCTCCACTAATTGGCTTCTGAGCCATCCCAGGGGGAGACTTTAGACCCATTACAAAGGTAAAATCCCACCTCTCCATAATCAGCCTTGAAACCCAGTTGAGGGTGGGGATGAAGGTCTGGGCAACAATGAATGAATATTGGCACTGGGGGGGCAGGATTGCTCTCTTACTTACATCTCTACTTCTCTTAGAATTTATGGTACCTTTACAAAGAACACCACTTTGAACTTCTTTACAAAAAGAGAACTTTCTGTTGAAATAGGTTTTGAGAGAGTACTGTTTATTTTTGTCTCTTTATTAATAATTAGCACCATATCCCTAAGATGGTGTCCAGTTCAGGTGTTGAGTCTGAAGACAGCTCCTCCTTTGTGCTCTTTGCCCCAAACACTCTTGAATATGAGGGTTGAGGATACCCACCAAGGACTCCACTAACTTAAATATACCGTGTTTATACAACTGGAATGAGGCCTTGTTAATAAGGTGTACGTAACTTAACCTGCGCATTACTGAAAATACTCATCCCCAGATAAATTAAGAGGGAAATGTTTAGGATCTAAAAATCTGATGAAAAAGATTACATGTGCTCATGTTAGGTCATCTGAGTGTAGGAAATCTCAGGCTGAAGTATCTTTTGTTCTATACAGCTGCATTTATCATAGACTGGTAAGTTCCTTAGTGGGGTCTCCCTTTTTTCTTTCTTATTTTTGGTTTCAGAAGGAACATTTCGTGTAAGTAGACACTGCTTGAACAACCCAGTATTATTTATAAAACTTCATGTTTGTAATGTAATTTTAAGGCAAAGTTCTTTACAAAAGTAACCACTATTAAATAAGGAGCACTGTGTAAATACAGAACCATCAAAGGGCATTTAAATTTCAAGTTTTAAAAATCATGATTTGTACTCCTTTTGATTTGTTTTTCTGTTAAGAGAGAAGGCCTGTATCATTGAATAAAACTATCTTTTTAGACTGGACTTGGAGTGCCTTCCTTAGAGGAAACTGTAAGCTTGTTTCCCTTAAATTGTAATAGGTTTTATTTTTTTTAAATGACTTTACTGAAGCAGAGGGGAGGGATGCTATTGATTTGCTCAGTATCGATCTGAGTAATATCCCTATTGCTAACATGATATTCTTTTGAGTATCTTCCGCATCTTACGCCCTGATGAAAATCGCTTTTATTCTTGTATTTCAATTGTTCTTTTTCTACTTCACAGGGATACTATGAGAATAAATGAGCTCATATAGATATATGAAGTGCCTTAGGAAAAAGGCACTATGAAAATGCAAAATTGTATCATTATTAAATATTTCTTTGAATCTTTATCATTTTCTTTGTACTTTTATACAAAATATATCTCACTTACTACCTGAAGCCATCTCTTTTTTTAGAACCATTGCCTTCTGGAAGAGTGAAAATGATCCCCAATTCCCATAAGTTTATTGATTCTCAGAGAATAATGCCCACTGGTGTTGGTGCCTTGTGGCACTCACGCCTTAACTTAAGCAGAACTTGCCTCTTTCCCTGAACCAAAAAAGTCCACAATTGTTCAAAAATGTGTCATTGAGTGTGATTCCATCAGGAATTCTTAAATAAGTAACGGTTCGCTGCTGGTTTAGTCCTGGGGCCAGATTCTTTATTTTCATGCTCTCCTAAAACAAATTCAAAATGTGGCAAGAATCTTTGTGATCTGTTATTTGAATCAAAAGATAAAGTTAATTGGCCCCCATTTTGTCCATCTCAAGATTTGCTAAAGCATATATTGATCTGGAAAGGAAGAACACAGCCTGATGTGTTCATGTGTTCTTTCTTCCTTCCTTTCTTTCTTTCCTGGGATCTTAAAATTCTCAGGAATAAAATAAATTTAACAAATAAGCACTTATAAACATTTATTGAGCTTTCATTATGTACCAGGCCCTGTATTAGGCCCTAAGCACTCGTCAGCATTGCTATTAGGTTTCAGTAAGGTTGGGCCAGTAAAAATTCAGTAAGTGATTTTTAGAAATTTCTTTTTAGATATGTATTTACAGACAATCATTATAGAGAACTAAAAGAAACTATTACTAAGTACATGAAGATAAAAATCTCATATGCTCTCCAAAGAAGATGTAAGACATTCATGAAGAAAGTGAAGAAAATGTCCAAACAAAAAAAAGCTGAAATATTAGTACAATGAATACCTCTATACTCACCTGCTAGGCTCATGAACTGTTATGTTTCTGCCATATTTGTTCCATATTTGTGTATTTCTTTCTGAACTACTTGTAAGTTACAGACAAAGTGACGCTTCGTTCCTAAATAATTGGGTACACATCTAAGAATGGGGGCATTCTCCTACAGAACCATAACAATATGATTATACCTAAGAAGACAGACAGTAATTCTTTAGCATGATCTAATATTTAGACCATATCTAAACTTCACCACCTGACCTCCAAAGCTGTCTATACCTTTAAAGAAAAAAAGTAGGGTCTAATTTTTATAAAGAAAAACACATTTTTACATTTGGGCTTTATATCTTTTTATTGTCACTGGATTTTTTTTCTTTATTTTTAAAAGATTTTATTTATTTATTTGACATACAGAGATCACAAGTAGGCAGAGAGGAAGGCAGAGAGAGAGGAAGGGAAGCAGGCTACCTGCTGAGCAGAGAGCCCAATGTGGGGCTCGATCCCAGGACCCTGAGATCATGACCTGAGCCGAAGCAGAGGCTTAACCCACTGAGCCACCCAGGCGCCCCTGTCATTGGATTTTTTAAAGGGTTAGGCCAGTTATCTTGAAGGATGTCCCACGTTCTGGATTTGTTGTTGCCTCATGGTGTCATTTAATTTGCTCGTCTACCCCCTGTATTTCCTGTAAATGCCCACGTCTGGCCTATGCATTGATTATATTTCGATTGAATGTCTTTTATAAGGTGCTCCATATTGCATCTCATCAGGAAGCACAAAATGCCAGGTTGTCGCTCTATTTGTGACTCTCGGTTTGATCATGGCTCGCGGTAGAGCTCTCACTCCAGGGAGCTCTCATTGTAAAGGTACTTTTTCCGCTTTTGCAGTTAACAAGTTCTCCGAGGGGGTGATGCTTCGACACTGTGGTAGTATCTTACTTCCCAACAAATGTCACCTAATGGCTTTAGGTGATAATCCTTGCCAAAATCGACTGCTCTACTGGGGATCATATACATTTTTAATGCACTTTGAAGAAGGATTAGACATACAAATTCATCATTTTTAGCAGCAATAGCAGATATTATTGACTGTAGAAATTCAGGCTATAATTCTAACAACAATAGTAAGTAACATTTATTGAGTGCTTGCTATGGGTTTGAGGCCAGTCCTCCAGCTACTAACTGGGCCAGATGGGACAAGTTAGTCTTTCTGTGCCTTAGTTTCTTAAGCTACAAAAACGAGGGTAATAATGGTACCTGTTTTATCGTATTGTTTTAGAGACTCAATAGAGTTGACCCTTGAACAACATGGGTTTGTTTGTGCAAATCCACTTACACTCGGATTTTTTTTCTATAAATACAGTGCAGTACTGTAAGTATATCTTCCTTATGATTTTCTCTTTTTAAAAATATTTATTTATTTGAGGGGCACCTGGGTGGCTCAGTGGGTTAAAGCCTCTGCCTTCAGCTCAGGTCGTGATCCCAGGGTCCTGGGATCAAGCCCCAAATCGGGCTCTCTGCTCAGCAGGGAGCCTGCTTCCCCTCTCTCTCTCTGCCTGCCTCTCTGCCTACTTGTGATCTCTGTCTATCAAATAAATAAATAAAATCTTTAAAAAAATTTTATTTATTTGAGAGAGAGAATGTGAGCGAGCATGAAAGGGGGAAGGTCAGATGGAAAAGCATGCTCTCCTCTGGGCAGGGAGCCCATTGTGGGTCTCAATCCCAGGACCCTGGGATCATGACCTGAGCTGAAGGCAGACATTTAACCAACTAAGCCACCCAGATGCCCCTTTCCTTATGATTTTCTTTTTTTTTTTTAAGATTTTTATTTATTTATTTGACAGACAGAGATCACTAGTAGGCAGAGAGGCAGGCAGAGAGAGAGGAGAAAGCAGGTTCCCTGCTGAGCAGAGAACCCGATGTGGGGCTCATTCCCAGGACCCTGAGATCATGACCCAAGCTGAAGGCAGAGGCTTAACCCACTGAGCCACCCAGGTGCCCCTCCTTATGATTTTCTTAATAATATTTTCTTTCCTCTAGCTTATTTCATTGTAAGAAGACAGTGTATAATACACAGAACATGCAAAAGTGGTGTTAATCGAGGGTTCATGTTATTGGTAAGGCTTCTGGTCCACAGTTGTCTACTGGTAGTTAAGTTTGGGGACAGTCAAAAGTCACACACAGATTTTTGACTGAACAGGAGGTGGGAATGGAGGGCAGTGCCCCAACCCACACCTTATTCAAGGTGCAACTGTAATGTATACATGTAAAGTCCCTAAAATGGTGTCTGCTAGTGTTGTTTGCCCAGCACGTGTCTATTCCTTTATAAGTATGAACTCATTTGCTTTTCATAAAGACCCAAAGAAGTAAGGGCTATGTTATCCTTCTTTTGCAAGTGAGGAAGCACAGGTGCAGAGAGGTTAAGAAACTGACACAAGGTCACTTAATTAGTATGTGGTAGAGTCTGGATTTGAACCCAGGCAGTCTGACTGCCGTCTCCGAAGACTGGAACCTGTAATGAGAGATGACAGAAATGGGACTGAATGGGAAGCAGTAACGGGACCTCACGCCACCACCACCCAGGTTTTAAGT